AACACTACAAGAAGTTATCACAAAACTCGACAGTAGAGGATTACTTATTCCCATCATAAAACCTTATACTCATGTTTTCATCATTAATTGTTGAAAGTACTTTAATTAGAGTTTTCACAAAAACGTCCTTTAATTGCATTCCTCAGATTTATGATGATCAAATTAGAGTTTTCATGTAATAAAATCCAGCAAGCTTTTTGCCAATCATATTTCCTATGCAATTGGACTGTTGCTCCAGCTTCTCTCTAACCAGGCGTTTTCAAATTTCAAATTTCAGGCGATTTCAAACTTCAAATTTCCATTCCTTGTAAACCACATCCACACTCCCCGGCATCTTTCCTCTCAAACCCAGTGGTCGGCCACCACTTCGCTGCCGCGACAGTCACCGTCAATAGTCTCCGACCGTCGCTCGGCGGCATCGGAAAAGGAAGAAAAATACACCTTTTGAATCCTCTCTTCACCCCAAGCATAGATCGGACGTTGGTTTTTTCAAAATCGAAATAAATCGGAGTAGATCTAGAAGAAAAAATTTGCGTTCAGACGAAATTCTCCCCGTCAGACAGGAAATTAAAAAGGTTCGTGGAGTTCGTCAAATGATGATTTCTCAGTGGCGGTGCTTGCTTCCGAATTGGGTATAGAATCCCGTCCTTTCTTTTTCAACCACGACACTGAAATCGAAGACCAAGACCACTGGCTCGACTGTCCCCAGGATTTTTCCGACCTCGTTCTCCTCCAGTTCTTCTGCCGTCAGTGACGCGATAAATTCGGTAACTATATCATCCGTATCATCGGAAAGTATTTCCCGTTGAACACAGGGACTTCCTGTTTTGCTCGCTTCGAAGTCATCATCAAGGATATACTTCCACAATGAACATAAGCTGACTGATTCTTCAATTTTGCCGCCCTTGTTGGCTCTACCGAGCATTCTCTGTATCTTTGAAGAAAGAAGGATTCCGATCAGTTTTCAAATTCTGCTTTGCTTCAGATTTTTGTTATAATCTGAATTTAATTGTCTTCCGAGTTGAGAATTTGGTTCAATCGTCAACGCGTGTGCTTGAGTTATATCGGATTTGGCGTTAAATCCAAGCTTGAGATTTTCTTCGGGTCGTCTTATGATGGCAAGTAAGGTGACTAGTTCTGCTGGGAAAAATTGTTTTACGGTGATCATTTTCAACATTCCAGAGCGTCTTCATCATAAAGGGCTTTGGCTGGTATTCGATAAACATGGAGAGGTGGTCGATTCTTTCATCCCTAACAAAAGAAGCAAGGGAGGAAGTAGGTTTGGCTTTGTTCGTTTCACCAGATTGGAGGACGCAAGGAAGGCTATCAACTGTGTTGACAGATCTAGGATTCGCGGCAATGAAGTTAGAGTTTTTTTGGCCAGATTTCAACCCCGGGAAGCTTTTTGGAGAAAGAAGTTTTCGGGTTTAAAACCAGCCGAGATCAAGAGTAAAAGGGAGGATGTTGGGCATTTAGAGGCTCCCATTGTGGGTTCTGTTGACGAGGACAAACTGCTAACTTGCAGAGGCAGCTTGGTAGGGTGGTGCAGAAATTTTTTAAAGATGAATGAGTTGGCTGCCATAATGCATAAGGAAGGCATTTTAGGCCCGAAAATCATGAGGCTAAGCGGGTTAGCAGTTCTAATCATTTTTGAAGATGATGAGAGTAGGGATTTCACGCTGAATAATCAGATGGGGGCATTGAATAAATGTTTTGGCAAAGTAGAAGTGTGGTCGGAAAACTTTCATTGCAGCAGCCGTCGGGCGTGGCTTTCGTGCAAAGGGATCCCACCGTTTTTGTGGAATCCCTCCACCTTCAGAAGCATTGCAGACAAATGGGGAGAACTTATCTCCATTGACGAAGGATCTGTGAATCCAGGTTCTTTTGAAAGGGCTTTGTTTCAAATTATTACAAACCGTCAAACACGTGTGGAAGAATCCGTTGTTTTGAAAGCCGGGGACTTGTTATTTACAGTTTGTATTTCTGAGTTTGAGCCTTGTTTCAGTCCCGACTCAGTCTGGGTAGACTCGTTCTTGATGGATGAGGCAGTTGCCTCCCCGTTATCTTTGGTGGGGGAGCTCGTCGGTGTCTCGCCAGTTAATTCTACCGTGGTGGAGGTATGTCTTGAGGGAGCTGGCAGAAACGAGGACTCTTCGGTGGAGAAGATTTCTGAGCGTTGTTCTGTGGATGAAGAAAGTCTATTATGTTGTATAGGGGAAAGAGTTAGTGGCTGCTTCTCGTCGGGTGGGGAAGTAGTGGAAAGGAACATAGGGGAGGATTTTATTATGGGCTTAAGGAATTATGCTGCTGGTGTGGGGATTATTCCATCGGAATTCGAGGATGTGGTGGAGCACGAGAATGTGCTGGATCAAGGGGCTAGAGAGTCAGTTTTTGAAAGCAGCGAAAGTTGTATGTCTGCACGTGATAGAGAGAGAATATTGGATTTTTTTGATTCATCCAACTTGGATGGTCGGTTAAAGGCAAAGGTGATGAAAAACGTGATTAACATTATTAAGAGGCGTGCTATTAGTAGTTCCAAGGGTGTGGAGGCCCATCAGGATGGGGATGCCCAACAGGTTGGGGCGGTGGTTGACAGGATGGATGGCAGAGATATATCGGGATTAGCAGAGAAAGTTTCGGGTCCCCAATTAATGGCCTGATACAGCCAAATCAAGCAGCAGTAGAAGGTTCAATGTGTGGGAGATTTGTATGTTCTGGGAGCCAGATTATGATTTCATTTTTCCAGCTTTGGAGCCAGAGTCTATAGTTTGGTTTTCTGCCCTCTTCGTGTGGATGGAAGCTCCTGGATGTCTGTGTTTTATTTTGGATACTATGGTTTGAGTCAGCTATCATTTTTTCTCTCTTTTTTAGGTGTTCTGTTTTCTGGTGCTCTCAGAGTCAAGAGTTAGACTTTTAGTTGGGTCAGTCCTTTAGAGGCTATTGTGGTTGATATTAGGTTGAGCTACTGTTGCTGCTATGGGGGTGTTTTTTGGTTGTTTTATGGTGTTTTGTTTTATGTACGGGGTCGATATCTGGATGTATTTTGGTGTTCTTATGTTCAATGAAATCCTAAGGCACTCTTTTCCTCCTTCCGCTGATTAAGGAGCTTCTCTTAAGTCTCTATAATCAAGAGGGAGGTTTTTAATGAGGCCTTCAATTCCTATCAAAAAAAGAGTGAGGGAAAGATAACCTCTTGGAAAGATTGTTCGGTGCACCGTCAGTAGCCTTTAGCAACACGAAGAAGAGCAATTTCAACTTTCAGAGCTTTGATTTCTGCCTCGTCGGTGAAATTGAGAAAATGGAAAATAAGGGAAAGATGAAACAAGAAAAGGAGATTAATAAGGAAAAAGAAAAGGGAGCAAAAGAAACGAGACATACCAGAGAAGACGACCGCCCGCCTCACCGGTGAGAACGATTCCAAACAGTCGCCGGTGTGGAGCAAGGGACGGGAGAAAGAAATTATCGTGTTCTCTGTGTGGAGCAAAGGACGCGAGAAATGGAAAACGACTTACCCTTTTCCAAACAGTAAGTCGAAATACCGTGTTTTACTCTCAGTTTTCCATTGACCGGATTTCATTTTACGTTGACCCGGGTGTTTTACGCGAACCAAACACCCGAAAACGGGAAAAACATTTTCCGTAAATTGTTTTCTCAGTTCCAAACGGACCCTTAGTATTGGTGTGAGGACTAAGATAATAAAAGTTTGCGGACTAAGATAATAATGGTTTGCGGAGAAGATGTAAAGGATGTATAAGAAATATTTTCAACAATATTCACATGACTAGTAATATCAACCATTTCATTACAAACAGATTAGTAAGAGTAGGACCAAAACATTCAGAAGAAAGATTCCAGTAGTAATAGAATTGTATCATGGTTCGGCTTCATGGCAGAATATGCACAAATTGAAAAACATCAAATATGGACAACAGGACATGTATATAATGAAAGCAATACGACCCACCACCTATATGTAACTCATGACAATAGTAGGAAGAAAGCCACAGCGACACTTGATCTCTACGCGTACAACGACACTACTGGGTAACGTAAATGCTTCCCGAAAACATATGACCTCTACAATTTGTATGAAGCTTGACCTTTCTATAAGAGAACATAAGACTAGGAACATCAAAAAGGCCTCCTACAACACTCCAAACCAAGCAGCAACTACAAACAATAATTCAAGCAATCCACTTAAATATAAAAATTTGCAAAACAAAATTCAAGCAATTAAGATACAATATTAACGATCGAGCACTTAGGTGCACCAACCACACATACCATTAACACCAAATAAAGTTAAGAATGTAAGATTCTTCCTTAAATTAAAGAAAGGCCTGAAAAAGAAACCAATCTCTGAAACTTCTAATAACAATACTATGTCAAAGTGGTAAACCTAGTTGGCAGCTGCATTGCATCTAAGTGTAGACATCTTACACTCAATACTATTAATCGTTGAAAACCCAACTCTAAAATACAACAAAATAGTGTATTCTAAGTAGAACAACTCAAATTCCATATTCAAACACAAGATAGCTCTATCATACAACAAAATAATGAATTCTGCAAAATAGTTATTGAGTAGGTCAACTCAAATCCCATATAACATAAGACAACTCCATCATACAACAAAATAGTGAATTCTGCAAAGCCTGAAGCCAAGTTAATGGAAAATTTTGATTTCTCAAGTTGTGAAAAGGACAAACGCACGATTGAATAAGGGCAGGATCGATGTTTAAAAAAATCATCGCAGTCGCATTCATTCCCTCAGCAATGAAAACCCAAATTCACGATGAACATAAGATTTCCAAAAAAGAAGAAGAAAACTGTAACGCTTTCAGGAAAAATAACAATATACAACTAGTCTAGGCATCTCCAATTGAATGAAAATAACTAATTGAGCATTATGCAACAATTTTGTCACTAATTTATCTTGTACAAAATTCCAATATCGCAATTGATCTGACATAGTGATTTCTTTTTCTTTCCCATATTAAGAAGAGAAAAATAAAATTGAACCTGTTGACTCTAAGGGTTTCAGAAAACTGGATCGTATAGAGCTAATCGTCGTCCCTGTTCTTGGGCTTGCGGTACTTCTCTTCGGCATGCTTGGCCATGAAGAGTGCGGTATCCGCCAGCTTCTTGATGTTGGGAACATTGTAATTTTGGGCAACGTAAATCCCGCAAACTGTTCCGACGATGAACGAAAAACTGCTTCTTATTATGCCCATAATTCGCTTCAATTGCAGTAAATCTGGGATCGAGAGGGATCGGGTTTTAGGATCGGAAATTTTTGGAGTTGAATGTTGGGATCGACCTTTTTGGGGTTAGGGTTTTGCTAAATATTGAACCAAGCGAAGCATACAGAAGATCCGAATTGAATTAATTAAGTTTTGACGATTACAATTATATTTCAATTAAAAATAATTTCTTTTTTTCTCTTAAAATTTTATTCATTCTCGGTTGTTGTTTTTTTTAAACTTATCAAGTAATCTAAAAATACATTGTTTAAGATTTAACTATATCAACGGATTAGAATTTTTAAATTTAAAGATAATTATTTTTTTCATAAAATTTTCTTAATTTCTTACCCTTTTTACTTTTATAATTTTATATTTTTAAGAGGTTCTAGTAAAAATTTTATTTTTGATAATTATTTGTTTGAAAAATAAAAAAAATATTTCAATAATTATAAAATTACATTTTTTATAATTTTAAATTTTTGTATATTTCTTTGCATTTACTCTATTTAAGAAAAATATCATTTTAACTTATTAAATGATTTTAGACATTTAACGGTGAAAGAGAATGATCTTAAGAAGATTTATGTTTGAGTAGCTTTATCTCCATGAAGTGTGTACACGATCATGGTTAAGAAAAATTTTGTACATATATTATCTTATTAAAAGTATCATTTTAATTATTAAGATTTTTATAGAATATAATTTTTTATATTTTTTAAATATTAAACTTAAATTGATAAAATATAAAAATATTTTATTTTTTAATTTTAATATCACTTACTAATAATTAAAATAAATGAAAATTAATAAAAGAGTAACCCTTTAAAAATAATATAAAAATCAATGTTATAACATTAAAAAATGAAAATTATGTTTTAAAATTTAAAACATTATAAATATTATGAATATATTTAAATCAAGGATAAATTACACAATTAGTAACTCAACTATCTTCTAAGTCCTATTTCGATCACTGAAATTTAAATTATTTTAAGTTGAGTTGAATTTTTTATCACTTTACTATTTTCTCTCTAACACTGGTGATAATATGGCATTTTTTGGAACTCAATGTTTTCTCTTAATGTTAGGTTCAACGCTTGAGGCTATTGAAAGACCCTCATCGTCCAACTCACAGTGCTTTTCTTGAGTTCACGTATTTGCTCATTCGCTAACTTTCTTTACTGATACGGTCGCAATATACAACTGTTGCTCATTTGCTTTATTTACGAAACTAAAATATGGTCCGTTGTTGTTTGCAAGGATGTTGTTTGTGTATATTTTCACTATTCGCAGGCTGTGAGTGCCATTGCAACTCTTAACTGCAGTGGTGCAGTTCTAGGATTATTGCCAGACTTTTTGGTCACTTGTCTGAGCCGCTGTCGACAATTTCCCAGTTTTGAAAATCTGAAATCTTCCATAGTTTCATGGGACTATTTGCTTGTTACAAATGCAAGGTAGCTCCTTCAAAGACACACTGAATCATTAATCATCCTTGCTTGTTTCTTTCTCCTAGACTGATCAACCACCAATAGATGTATACACACACATGCCGGTTGATACTTTGGATATAACTTCGGAGTTAATTTTACTTGCGATGGTTTGAGTGCGTTGTTGTTTTCTTTTAACTTGTAGAGTAGTATTGGATTTTAAAGACATTAATGCACTAGTTTATGTTGCATATTACAGCGCATTTTCTGAAAATGCATGTTGCCAAAACCCAGATTTGTTCTAACAAACTCGTGATTTAATACACAAATCTTTTGTGCTGTTTTACTGTAGGATAACCAAGTAATTAGCTACTGTAGAATATCCGAAATTCTCTCATTTGATGATTTAAAGCGAAAGTTCTCAAAAAAAAAAATATATATATATATATATATATATATATATATTTGTAAAAAAGCACTAGAGGTCCTTGAACTTTAAAAAAAACAATTTGGCCCTCATATTTTTTTTGGATCAATGTAGACTTCCAACTCGAAAAAAGAACCTAATGTGATGCTTGACCAACAGTTCTGTTAATTACTGCTGAATAAATTACACCATTCATCACTCAACTATTTTCTTCTCTTTTATTTTTGTCACTAAACTCTAAAAGTTTTTAATTTCATAAACTCTAGAGACTTCAGACACCAAGGCTGAAGTTAACCAATTTTAGTTTAAACACGAAACCCCCCCCTTCCTTCTCTGTGACAGAAAAACTAAAGCTAGCAGTGCCTTCCCCCTTCGAAAAGCACCAGCTTCACCTACAATGGGTATCGACTTTGTGGCCGGCGGCAAGAGCAAGAAGATAAAGAGAGCCCTTGGCTTTTATCCAGTTGGTAACAAACGAAAAGGGAGCCCTTGAATCTACGGCGGAGCAACACCAGCAGAACACCGAGCCTCACTCAACCATTGCTCCACCACTCGACGAAAAACGATTAACTCCAAAAGAGACGTTACTCGGAATGGACATCCTAAGCTTTGGGTATCATCGGAAAATTGGTCGGTGCCCCATCTTCCAAGCTGAGCTTTGGGCGGTGCTTGATGGGCTATCCATCGCTTGGGATAATGGTGTCCGTAACATTAACGTTGAGGTGGATAATAGTGAAGTGGTGAGAAGTTTGAATTCTTCACAGCATGCTTATGATGGAACCATCTCTCGTCGTATTCGAAGGCTTCTTCTCAATCGCTGGCGTGTTACGATTACCCATACGAATCGGACATGTTGGTCTTACCTTGTTTCAAAAGCCGCCTGTGGAATTTCAGGAAATTCTTAGCTTTGCAAATCTGCTTTGATCAGTAGTTCAACTCACTAAACCATTAGTGGTTATCTTTGTTACCAAAAAAAAGTTAACTTTTTAAACCATGGTCGACGGTAGTGGCGTCGGTGAAGGCGGTTTTGCCGTGGTGAGGTAAGAGGAGATAACATGGGTTAATTACAGTTTTAGTCCTTGAAGTCTCTAGAGTTTCCAAAATTAAAAACTTTTAGAGTTTAGTACTAAAATAGAAGAGAAGAAAATAGTTGAGAGATGAATGGTGTAATTTACCCAACAGGAATTAACGGAGCCATTGGTTAATGACGGAAAACGTTGGTCAAAGGGTCACATTGGATTCTTTTTTCGAGTTGGAGGGCTACATTGATCAAAATAAAGTACGAGGGCCAAATTGGTTTTTTGTTTAAAGTTCAGGGACCTCGTGTGCCTTTTTACCTATTTTTTAAATGCTTACCGAAACTCATTAAGTTTTTCATAACGGTGAAACACATTTGGTGAAAGTTTACAAGTCATTGGACTCCGGAAGTGATGGTCAATAGTGGATAAAACATCGATTGGTGTGATAGCCGAAATATGAATTAGTTCAGGTTGAAGAGAAAAAATAGAGAGAGAAAGGAAAGAAGACGAATAAATAAAAGAGGGAAAATGAAAAAAAAGGAAAATTAACTTTTTCATTTAGATCGAAATGAGGTACTTTTTGTCTAAATTTGGTTTTATGTAGGAATTCAACCTATTTGGTTTTGATGTTAGTTGTCATCAATGTTGTATCTGGGCTTAGGCAGGAGAGGCACCTACTCAGGGACCAAAATTTTTATAATGTATTATACAACCCAATTATTTGAAATACTTGTTATTATGGTTTTAATTTTTCCTAATATTTATTATCACGAGCTTATTTTTTAAATATTTATTATTAGGGTTTATTTTTATAATTTATTTTGTTAGTATTTGTATAAGTGTCCAATTTGTAATACCCGAATATAGTTTGGATTAACTTGAGACCCATAAGTTGAGCTCATTAGATCTCTCAGAGCAGTTGAGACCAATTTATAAGACTATTGGGCCTAAGTTTGACCCAAAAGCATAAGATAAGTGATGGTTTTAAATAGAGGTAAAAAGGTGAGGGATCAAAAGCGTAGTTTACTCATAGCTTGGTTTAAAGGATAAAAACCCTTAAACCAATAGTTTTTCACGTGAAAACCCAAGTTCCCCAAATATTTTCCTTTTCTCTCTTTTTTCCTCTCAAGAACAAGAAAGAGGAGCAAGCTTTAAGAGTCCCAAGCCTAGATTGAGTCAACCAAGGTAAGAACCTTAATCTTCTTCCCTCAAGCTTCGATTTGAACCATTAATCTTGAGTTTTGGTTAAGGTTTCCAAAATTGAGTTTTTATGGAAGTTAAAGGAATCAAATTAGTTTTAGTACATTTAAGTTGATTAGAGTGTTTCTAACTCAGTTCTAAGCCCTAAACAAGTTTGTAACTTCTAGTTTTGCTTGTGATTAGCCAAAGAGGTGGGAGAAAGTTCCAAAGCTAGAGGTAAAGAAAAAGTGAATCCTAGTTGATTCGAGAGGAATTCTAGCAGCCATGGGAAATTAGGTAACACACTCAAAACTCCTTTATACCCTTAGTGGGTTAATTGAGATGCATATGAGTTTATGAGATGGGATTAAGTATGATGAATAGATTTCCATTAGAAGATGCATGTTTTAAAGTTATGAGATGTTCTTAATCCTTATTTATGACCTTTATAATCACATAAAATTTAATAACTAATTGGGAAACCTCAAGGTAAGGAAATTAGGGAGTATGAGTATCGATATTGTTCATTTGGGAATCTTAAAATTTGAGAGTTTTAGAAGAATAATATCGATACCCTTTCAAGAGTATCGATATTGAGGGTTCAATATCGAAACCAAAAGGCTTGGTATCGAGACCAGGATTCCAGTAGTCATTTTTGGTATCGGTACTCTTGGAGTATCGATACCCAAGGTCCCAGTATCGATACTCGCATACGAGTATTGATACCCCCTTTAATTTCAAGGTTGATCAGCTGGGGTATCGATACATTAGGTAGGGTATAGATACTGAAGTAAGGGTATCGATACTGCAAGGTCAATATCGATATCAAAGTGATGTTTTAGATAATAAATTCAAGAGAGCTTTAAGAAGAGAAGGCTTCCCAAAAACTTATAATTACCTCTAAATAAGATTACAAGTGAGAACATTATTAATGATTAATTCAAACATAGAAATGAGAATATAGTAGGATCAAACAAGACTAGCCTTGTTTGAATGCTCCGGAAATGATCAAGACACTCGAGTTTCTTTAAAAATGATAGTAGAGTCGAAAGTATAGATGTAGTCCGGA